TGACACCCAAATTGTTTAATCTTTGTGCAGTGAGGACCCTTCAAGCTGGCTCCTGTGTTCTTTTCAGAGGACACGATTAGCCACTAAAGCTTCCCCATTTTCTAGTGCATTAAAGTATCCCAAACTCACGTATACTTACTTCCCTGCCCAAGCTCTGCAGTCAGCTGGCCGTTTGTCCAAGGACCTCTGGTTTTCTTGAGTGAGAGCGAACTCCTTGAAATTTAATGATAGCGTTTTAAGACAAATAAAAGGAATGTTACATTATAGTAATACATTTGAGAAATATAATACATAGATGCTGAAACAATGAGAAGACTCTGTAAAGGTCTGGGGATGGGCAGAGATGGCAGAGCTGCATATGTAGCCTGACTGCCGCTGTGGAGTCCGCCATGACTGACTCACTAACCGCCCTGCCCTGTGGGTACCTCTGTCCCCCGCGGCTTGTGTTCATTGCCCAGAACAGAGCGCCCAGCTTTGAGTCACTTCACTACACGGGGCGTTTCCCTTTCCATTGGTAGTCACAGCTCTAATATTAGAGTCACAACAGGGAACATTGCCACTCGTGCTGCAGCATTGTCAACGGTAACATTAATGCTCGGGGTTTCAGTAAAAGAAGTTCTGAGGTCACCCGTCCAGGATTCCTATGACGGCTCTACCATGCCATCCCGGACCCAGGCTCCCCTATCCTTCCGTTCAGTCAGCTTTAGAGACTAGCCTTCAACCTCATGCTTGCCAGCAGCCCCGTTTCACTTGAAGCACTTGTATGTGCATTCCAGGTGGGAGAAAGTAGGAGAGAGAAAGGCCAAAAGGTAAACTGACCACCTCCCACTCAGCGGTCCCATCCAGCATAGTCCACGTGCATTTCATTGGGTGGAACTGCATCACGTGGTCGCTCCCAGCTGCAGTGGATGCTGGGAAATGTAGTTTTAGCCCCCTACCTTGCCACCTGAAACGAATACTGAGTAAAAATAATTAAATAGAATAGGGGAATAGAATTGGGTAGGCATTTGCAATATCTGCCACAATACTCCCATCTAAGGCAAAATACATGGTTCCCACTTTATTATTTTTTTAAAGATTTTATTTATTTATTTATTTGACAGAGAAAGAGAGATCACAAGTAGGCAGAGAGGCAGGCAGGGGCTGGGTGAGGGGAAGCAGGCTCCTTGCTGAGCAGAGAGCCCAATGCAGGGCTCGATCCCAGGACCCTGAGATCATGATCGGAGCCACCCAGGCACCCCATCCCACTTTACTATTTTATCATTGTTGCTAACATTTTATTATTACCCACCGTCCCCCGCCGCCATTTTAGATAAAAATAGTAGTAAAATAACAGAGGGACGGGACAGGCTTTACTCACAAGGATGGGGAGTGTCAAGCAGTAGCTCTGTAATTCGGCCACTGTAGATGCCTGCCTCAGCTGTTGAGCAGAGCGTGTATGTAAACCGTACAAGTGTTAGTGCTTCGGCTCCTCTTTTTATTGGTAATCCCAACTCCAGAGAGAACAGTGCGGCCGGAGCTGCAGCACTGGTTGAAGATCCGCTCAAACACACATTGTGGGTGAAGAAATGTTTTCTCAAGCTAAACCGACCTCCTCAATTCATGTGAATTGAGACAAAATGAATTGTGCAGCACCTCAGAAAATATGGTGAGGTTTCCCGTCTTCAGCTCCTGGACTTTCCCAAAAGAGTGCCTTCCAGAAGGGGCATTTGCTTTTCTGAATAAAACGCAAACTATTGGGAGATCTTCGTTTTGCGACCCACCCTTCCTGAGAATCTTCACTCTGGTAGCATAACTTAAATAGGACACTCGGCGGGTGAACTCGTTGATCTAGATGGAGGGATGGCCATCAACCAAGACCTGGGGTGGGGGGGGGGTTCTCTGCAAGGAAGACGAGCCATGTGTTCTGAGGGAAAGATGAAGAAAAGGCTTACTCCTGCCTTTCTGCTGCCTATCACCCCAGATATAAAATCGAGATTTCAAAATAATGGCTACTCCCAGATCTTGTTATTTGTTGAATAAAGTGGAGTTTCATTTTATATGAGACGTTGTAAGACATCCTTCCCCTATCCTAGGGTGTCTAGTTTCTGGAAATTTGGGGCATGCCACTGCAGGGAGCCAAGGTTTCCAGTTAAATATGTTTTGATAAAGATGCAAGAGGAATTCAGATATTCAGAGATTGTGATTAGTGTTTCTTTATTACTTCCCATCTTCCAAATGCTTTATGAACCCAAAGCTTGTTTGGGACATGGGTGGGGGGGGGATTGGGAAAAAATGGAGAAATGCCACAATTGTGTGCAGAACTCAAGCCAAAACATACTTTAGCCCCAGTCTATTCCCGGCAGAGCAGCTTGTGGCCTGAGCTGACCAGCCGATTGCCCTAACTCTACACTTCTCTCTTTTTTTTTTCATGTGTAGAGACAACCCAACTGAGTTGTCTTGACCATCCTGCTGGGACAACATGGGACTCTCCTTATTATCTGCTGTTTTACATGGAGGATTGTTGAGCCACAGAAAGTTTAATGGGTTTTCTTAGTTCATGGCTAAGCCAGGACCACTCCGTGGTGGTCAATCTCCTACTGAGAAATTCCAGAGTCAGACCAAGAAACCAATCAGATTGTCTTTGTTTTTTCAGCCATCTAAACAAAATGCCAAATAACATTTTTTATCTCTTCTCCTAAAATGTGAGTTTTAAGAGTAGAAAGTTTATGTCACCACAGGTAAAGGAAGGAGAGCTCCATTTTTAACCCAGTTAAGCATTGTGTCCCAGTTACTACAACAAAGTTAGGGTTGGATTTGCAGGAAATCCCTGAAGCAATTGGCAAGCAAGCCTTGGTCCCCTTCTGAGAGTTGCACTCACAAATTCTCTGCAAGAAATTCTCCATGAGAATCCAACTATGCTCACTAATGCTGCTGGAGATGTTTTAGGGTTGGGGATCCAGCAAGAAGAAGAAGGGAACAATTGCCTTCAGTTCTCTCCCCCTGGACTATGATAGACAGAATTCTTATGTTGAGAGAAGATTTAGCATGTTCCTTTCTCTCTCTCTCTCCTTCCCCTGCTCTCCTCCCCTCCCCACCTCCTCTCTCCATGTGCTGGGCTCAGTCTCGGCATAATACATTTGGCCCTCATTGCGTTGAGCAATGCCCAGGGAATGCCAGGGCAACTCCCTTTACGAGGATGTGCCAGGAGACAAAAACCATGGCAGAGAGGTGGCTGGAAAGGTGAACAAAGGCACTGCCCTTGGCCACATTTCTTTAGCAAAAGCCGAGGGCAAGCAAAAACACGATGACGAACATTCAGCTTCTCCCCGCTGTGTAACTCTCTAACTGCGTGTTTTAAAGAGGAGAGAGCAGACAGGCTATCTCTGTCTTGCACTTGCCGGGAAGGGTGCCCCAGCCTCTTGCCGGAATCGCTGTCTGAGGAAGGGTTGGTGTGGTGACTGGTGGTCCCTTGCCCTCTTGGCATCTTCACCGAGGTGGTCTCTGCACCAGCACTTTTATTCCTCAGCATTTCTGTTTAAAGGATATAGGAAAGATCCATGCCTTCAGGTTAACTAAGAAGATATTTATCTGCTACATGTTTCATTCTCTGGCCGTTCTTGACCTTTGGTACTTGGAGTCAGGAGTGTTTTGATACTAGATGTAACCCTTTGGCTGGGTCAAAGGCACCGCGGTGGGGGCAGGGAGTGCATGTGGAGACAGTGTGCTAGAATATACACTCCAAAACCCCAAAACATGCCCAAGAATAACAAGAGCATTAACCACTGACCCAAACGCTGGTGAAATTCTATCTCTACATCTCCCTCCACCAGTAAACATGAAAATGCCATCCCTGAAGAGATGGAGGAAACCTCCAAAGAGAGGTCCAGGGAGAACAAGAGGAGGAGAAGGGCTGGTTTGGGAAAGAAGTCCAGCAACTTCTACACTCTTCAATCACTACAAAAATTTTCCCCAAATGACAACTAAGTAGAGACATTTTTTACTAGCTGGGAAAAACAACAGACTTGAATTTTTCTTTTCAGAATAAAGGCATTAAATTTCAAAATGCCTTCATGTCACTCTTTCTTTGGCTATCCCCGTCTTTTCCTTCATCATATACTATCTTCCCTCCTTCACTCCATACCGGTCTCACTGGCCTTCTTTCCATCCCACGAAGGGACCATGTTCATCCCCAGCTCAGGACTGTCTTACTTGCTGTTTCTTCTGTGAAAATGTTCCTCCCCAGGTTGCAGCAGGTGTTCAGGTCTTGCCTTCCCAAAGAGGTTTTCCCAGCAACCTGTCTAAGGTTGTCCCTGGCCATTCTCCATCATGTTCTTTCTTCTTACTGGTCACCAATTTCTGATCTGATTTTGTCATATTTATTATTTTGTTTCCTCAATTAGTTGTAAATATTAAGAGAATAGGGCCCAGGTCTTGTCCGTGGCTCTATCTCCTATGCCTAGAATGTGGTTGACACTTGTTGACCCGATAGATGGATGGATGGATGGATGGATGGATGGATGGATGGATGGATGGATGGTTATAGTCAATGATTTGGCTCAAACATTTTATCCAGTTTGGTCAGATCTTTTGTTCCATGACCTGCACCACAGAAACAAACTCTGGACATGGGGGCTGTAACTAATGCCAGAGTGATTAATTAGTTGAAGCTATGAGAAGGAAATCATCCTCTGATTCCAGTTCTGAATGAATACCCATTCTCCTTCAAATTAGCACTTTTGTGCTGATGTGCTTCAATGTTTAATAAATATCCCATAACACTTTAGCTCTCAGAAAATTCCAGAGCAGCAGGCTGGGAAAAGTTCCCTCATGGTTTGGCTTTTTGAAGATGGAGTAATTAAACCAAGGGAAGTAAAGATGAATTGGGAATACCATCCTGGTTTAATTCCAGCCACTAGCATTGTCTTTGCTCTTGAATTTAATGGACTGTTAAGGGAGGGGGTATTCTCAAATCACGTGCCTCCTATTTATTTGTTCCTTTGCTTGTTTATTTGTTTTAGAATAACCTCCACATGGAAAGTGACTCTGCATCAGAAACGAGCTTTCCCTTCTCCAAAGAAGCAGCCGGGGAACATCTGGACCACCAGGCTGCACACCAACCCTTCCCCAGACAGCGATTCCGGCAAGAGCCTGGGCACCCTTCACTGCAAAGAGATGGCCCCAGATCCTTTCTCCTTGATCTCCCAAACTTTCCAGATCTTTCCAAAGCTGACATCAATGGGCAGAATCCAAATATCCAGGTAATGCTTGAGAGTTGAAAGGTGGAAGAAAAAGAAACAACCTATCTCTTTGTGTCCTGATCTGATGCCAAAGCAACCACTGCCTTACCGCACTTTTATTCTTAACCCTTTATGAATCTGGTTGACAATCAGATTATCTCTGTAGGACCAGTGTTTTATTACATCTGTGTGACAGCCTTCATTGGGAGATGCACCATTATTTGATGCACGACTAAAGAAAGAAAACACTGATAATTCAAGTATGACACAGCAATGATTGCAATACATCCTGCTCTCAGAGATGTTGAAATGCCCAAACAAAACAAAATTATATGCCCTGAAATTAACAAATAGGGTAGCTGTAGAAAAGGGCCAATTTAACATGGAAGCTCACTCAGCAAAGCACAGTGTGATTTCAAAGGTACTGGGGAAGGCACACTCTCAAATCCCTCTTAGCTTGCCCTGGACACCAGCAACTCCTTCAGGAGGTGACAACACTTCAGTTGCTCTAAAATGTAAAGGTCTGATTCAAAAAGTTGGGTGAGAGGAAGGGAGGTGAGAACAGAAGTAGCTAGGGGAGACATGAGTCTGTACCACTAAGATGGGCTGGGATGAAGCTGAAGGAAATAGGTGGTTAGGGGAAAGGGTACCTGGGATTAAAAATAACAACCCTCCTCTATGCTGAAATAGACATGCTTTACAAAGCAAATGTTGATCTGGTTTGACTCCAAACACCCTCTGAAGGAGATGAAGCCCACATCCTTTTTCCATAATCAGTAAAGCAGCAGGTACTTAAGAAGTTCCTATTTGGTTTGCCCAAGGTTACACGGCTAGTAAATGGTGGTTGAAGCTCAAATCTAGGCTCCTGGGATCCTGAGAACACTCACCCTACCAATCCATGTTTCACAGACAAACTCCTGATTTTGAATTTTGCTTGTACTTCCCTCTGTGTCTTCCCAGAGATGCCCATGATAGCCAAGGAAGGGGACTAGTCAACAAGGCAATCTCATCTCTATTGTAGCTCCTGTCCACCTTGAACTTGTTTCTCCATTCTTTGCATTTGGGGAAGGGCAGCATTTTCTTATTCTTCCTCTCTGCTTCAAATTCCAATTAGCTTACAAGGCCAAAAGTTCCTGAACCTGACCTCAGAGCAGTTGATCCTTAATTAAGTTAACTCTCCCTCTCTCCAGACTAACGTTCTCTGCATGACACCTTCCAGATCAGATTTCCTTGGTCAGAGTTCTGCTCATCACGCCAGTGTCATAGTGGCTAACAAATGTCACTGAGAATACGCCCCAGTTAGAATGTTGACCAGCCCCTACTGTGTATAAAATGCTGTGTTAGGGTTATGAGAAAGTAAGAAATGTAAGACCTTCTCTATCCAGGAAATGACATAGGTGTGGAGGTCCCGGCTACCACCCAAGACAGTCCCAAAGGGAACATGGAGACAGAGGAGGGGAAAATGCTCTGTTCCATTGTGAACAGGTTTGAATAGACAGGAAGAAATAGAACAGGATACTGGTAAGGGTCTAGATATGAAAAATGTTTCAGAGGTCACTTTTTGACGACCCTTGCGCAGAAATCACTGCAGGCACCTGTTAACATTTCCAGGGAGTCTTGCATTGTTCTAATTGATTAATTGGAAAAACAGGCCTTTCACTTCACTGTTCTCTCTCTAGGAAGTGGTTACATGGCTCTCTGCTAAAGAACAAAGGATCCACTTGGGGGAGGTGTGGACTGGCAAAAAGAGGTGCAGACCTCTCCTTACTGTTACTCGACAGTGCTCCCCATTGGGCCTTTACCTGCAGGAAGTGATTTTTTTTCCCCTTCTTTATAGATTTTATGATTTCGGGACCAGGCCACCTTCACTCCAAGGGAGCTTAGGCCATGTCCAAAGCAATTTTAGGCTTGCTGTGGCTCACGTTTTTCCCCCACAGGTGGGAAATGTCACTGTGGGATTTAATGCTGAGTATTGAGCTATTAAAGTAGTAGATTTAAGAATGTAGGGACTCCTGGGTGGCTTAGTCAAGCATCTGCCTTCAGCTCAGGTCATGATCCCAGGATCTTGGGATCGAGTCCCACGTGAGGCTCTTTGCTCTGTGGGGAGCCTGCTTCTCCCTCTCCCTCTCCTTCTGCCTATTGCTCCCCTTGCTTGTGTTCTCTCTCTCTCACTGTCAAATAAATAGATACAACCTTTAAAAAAAAAAAAAGGAATTTCTTATGTGAAGTTACAAGAAAATGCCTGGATGCAGGGGAACTGAAGGTTGCAGGGAGTGTCCTCTCATTGGAAAGTTACTAAGTACATGGGGCTCTACCTAAGAACCAAATTTGGAACAGAATTTCTCAGAATCCCCTGCCTCTCGCAGATAATTCCGTGAGCCTAGGAATCCCCAGACCTCACTTGGGCCTTTTTAAAACATAGACCTAAATGTCAGAGAAGAACAGTGGTTGAGATCCTCAGACCTAAGAAACCCAGATTCCTTTCCCAAAAAGGGCAGGGCACCCATAAAGTGCTAAGCCTTCTACAGCCCACACAATGGATCAATCTGTGCATGAGGTCAGTAGAGCACCGGGGGTTACAGGTCATTTTAAATCATCCTCATCTGTATGGTTTAGCTGGATGGGAAGTAAAGAATGCTCTGGAACAGTTTCACCTGGCTTCCTGAGGGCAAAGGGCTATTGGAGTTAGTGGGTATGGAGAGAACTAGAATGAGCCAAAAGGGCAGAAAATAAATGGAGGTGAGTTATGAGAAGGTCCCACACGAGAGTCTGGCAAACATTCTTGGACTTTTATCGAAGGCAGCTTCCCTGTGCACTGTCAGTAAGGCATGACTGCGGAGATGGTACAGGTGGAAATTCTTTACCGTGTCCCCTCTGAGACATGTTTACATAGACTTACAACAGGGGCAAAGTAACAGTCAGTGCTTTGTTCTCACTCCGTCTAACCACCATCCCACCTCACCCTCCCAGCCCGGGAACGAAAAGTTCGCCTTCAGGTACAGGTTCAGAAAGGGAGACCTTGGAGCACAGGGCAGGAAGAGAACAGGGGCGCTCCTGGATGTCCTCGTTCCTTTCCTGAGTTGGCCTTTGGACAGCAAAGATCCCCATAGCTCCCAAGAGTATAGGTTTCCCCATAGCTGCAAATATCAGAATATTGTGCAAAGTCCATGAAGTCTAAGGTACGACCACCTTTCTGCCCACTGTCTAGACAAGCCACTCCTCTCCTGCTCTGCACAATCCCCATGGCTGTTTAGCCTCCTGCAGGCCATTGAGAGGGGCAGGAGCTGACTGAGTGTTATTGATCTGATGACCTGTTGGCCCTAAAGAAAAGAAAATTGAGCTGTGTTTCTGGCCTTCTCTTTCTGCAAGACCACAAAGGTCACTTGGAAAGATGTTCAGAGAAAGAAGGAAGCAGCTGCTCTCCCTGAGAGCCACAGCCTAGGCCAGAGTGTGAGTGTGTGTGAGTGTGCGTACACAAGCACACACACTCACATACACGCTCACACACACACACACACACACACACACACACACACACACAGCGCTGGCCGCCACAGCCCCATGCACCACTGCACTTGAGTAAACCAGTTCCCTGGTGGTCCTTTAAAAGATGAGGTGCTTTCTAAAAGGGGGTGATGGGTTCTGTTTTGGCAGCCCCTACCCCTTCCTTACAGCACTGCTCTTTTGTTGAAATGCACTGGTTTGACACGGGGCGGTTCAGCCAAGCAGACAGCTCGTGATCCCCCAGGGTCGTCAAAGCTTTTTCTCTCCCTGGGGAGCAGAGCGAAGACAGGTGACGGGGCTTCCGCTGCCAGGGCCCCTGGCCTTGTCTCCCCCCTCCCCTGGCAACCTGCCCCTTGCCCCCACCTAGCTGTCCTTCACTGAAGCTGGGGAGCTGAACAGGAATTTAATACCTTCTCTCTGAACACCCCACCCCATCCCCTTCAGTGTCTGAAAGAGTTTCCCACGCTCTGGGTCTGGGGTCTGCTGTCCCTCCCGCCAAATAACCCACACCTTTCCAAAGTGACATTGCCAAGCCCGCGCAAGGGGTCACCTCCCTCTTAGACCTCTTAACTTTGGGGAAGGGAAGTCCTTTAAAAAGCCCAGGTTTGGGGGACTTTTTTAAACCCCCCTCCCCTCTAAGCCAGGCAGGACCGGCTTAGGGCCGTGGAAGTGAGTGGGGAAAAGACAACAAGGCACAAATTAGAAAGAAACAGCCTCGAACTCCCGAACCCAATCTCCGTATTAAATTTGAAACAATAGTAGAAGTCGGAATTTGTTAAAAATAAATAAATCAGTCATTCAGGAAAGAAAGGAAATTCTCCCAGGAAAAGTTAGACTCGAACTTGAGACTTGTTGGCTGGGTGTTCAGTCTGCAGCTGATGGTCAGATAACAAAAACAAAAGTCTCTAAAATAAACTCATTATTAGGCTTTCTCCATCCATTCGTTACCACAGTAGCTGTTCACAACCAATTATTTCTTTCCTGGATCGAGCTGAGATCAGGATTCATTTCAACCAATATACTGATTTCTTCTTTTCCCACTGAGGGAGATTTAAAATAGTCATCTAGAGGTCTTTTTTTCCCCCTTGCGCAGACTTATTTACACGGCCGCCAGCCTCTGGAGGGCCACAAGATACAATCAGATGGGTTGGCCCCTGGGCTACAAATATATGGGCTTGTACTTTTTATCCCCTTCCTCCTTTCTCTCTAAAATACTTTCAGAATGGCAACTTTGACCAACCAAGAACCAGGGAGTCTGTGCCCAAAACATGACCCCACACACCTCTGAGGACAAGCCTGTATGGTGGAGATTCTTATGGGGGTGTATTGTCCAGAATACGAACAACAGAGCCCACTGACCTGTGCTTGGGATCAAGTGCCCCGAGGGCTTGGCCATGATAAACAGCTTCCTGCAGGTTACTGGACCTCTCTATGCCTCAGTTTCCTTGTCTGTAAAATGGGGATGGTAATACTATACATGAGTACCTCTATCCTACAATACTGCACAGAAGCGGGGGTTGTAGTGAGGATGAAGCAAGAGCGTCCATGTGAAACCCCTAGCAAGAGGGACAGGTATATGGGAAGCTTCCCCAAACAAGTAGGTGCAGGTTGGTGATGACCATGGATTGAAATGACAGAGGAAACGTGTATAAAATAATGGGGAATCCCAAGAACTTGTGTTGGGACGGCTCTGTGCCTTCCTTGCTCTCTTCACCTCAGGAACATAAATTCTCCACACCGGTTTCTGTGCCTAAATTTCAAATATAACTTGTGGAGAACAAGTAAGAATTTCTGGGCCAGCACGCTGCGAGTCCCAGAGCACTAACCTCCATCAACTGGGTTGCCATAGTAGTTTCTGGGGCATCAGTGAGTCTGAGAGAAGGGGATTATCTTTCTGCAGCAATTGTCAAGGAAGGAGGGGGGAGGGTAATCTTGGCCTTTCACTGGAGGTTGTTTTCTTGTCCCTGGGTGCTCTGTGCTCCTGAGGAAATCACTTCACCTTAGGGCTCACGTTCCTGTCTGGGAAATACTGACCCATGCCTACCTAGTCACCATAGCTTTCAAGGCTTAGAGGACCAAGCTAAAAGATTCTAGAAGATTCTCCTGAGCTGAGAAGGTCAAGACTTCTGTTTTTTTCAGAGTTATTAGTTGATTAACTGGTAGACTTTTCAGATTAAGTGTAAGGAGTTTGTTTCTAAGAAATGTCTTAACTATCAAGAGAAGGAAGGAAGCTAGTAACACTTCGTAGGATCTTATCTTCATTTCCCAATTTTGGACAGAATTCCCCAAATTGGCACCTATTTTGGACGCTCTCTCTCTTTCTCTCTCTTTTTTTTTTTTTGGCACTGACAAGATCCTGCCAGAAGTTGGACTTGGGTCTTTTGAAAGCATTCTCTTGCTTGTGCTGTCTTGATCCATGGTATGGAAAAGTCCAGAAGAAATAAATATGCTAAGACACCTTAGTTATGTGTATGAAGGAAGAGAAAAGATGGTAAAGTCTAGCATCTTTATCGGCTTGGAAATCTGCTGTATTCACTCCCACACCTTCAGCTCATCACATTGATTATTGTTTAAGGCATCTTTATCAACACATTCTTTGATGCTAACGAACATGTAAACAGAATGAGAGCAACAGGACATATAAAACTAATCCCCACCCTCCGAGAAGCCACTGATCGTGCTCATTAAGTTTCTTTAATTGGATGCCTATAAAACTTCAGGTTCAGGATTAGAGTTCTTCTTTTGATATCAGTATAAGATTTCCACATTATGAATTGTAGGGAAGGGTGGATTCTAAGGTTTGTGTGTTTTTTTGTTTTTGGCGGGTTTTGTTTTGTTTTGTGTTTAATTCAATTGGGGCAGTGGCCAGAAATTAAAGGGGGAAAAAAAAAACCCTCTAAGCTGTTGAGATTTAGTCATCGATATAGTTTTTGGAGTAAATTCGTATTTTGCTACTCCTTGCCTGGCCAGGCAACAAGTCTATTTTGTTTGGATCCGGGCAACGGTTTTGGAAAAAGAAATCGTATTGACGGTAATAGCTTAAAACATGAAATTGTTTTTATTCCCGGCTTGGAGAAATTGTAGGGCACGTCTTGCTTAGGCAATCCCTTTGACTCCAGTCTGAATACAAATGGAATACCAAAACTGCTGGGCATGTTCCCCTTATCTTCTACCCAGAGACTGATTTCATTACCATAATTGCTGGCTTGCCTGGCTTTTGGCAGCGTCTCTCCTCCGAGACCCTTAATAGCCTTATTGCTGCCGCTCAGTTGTTCTGTCTGTAGGCAGAGGAAGACCGGATTGCGGAGGAGAAAGATTATGTCTCCAAAGGCTCAGTATTGCCCTGTCACCACCCAGCTGCGCACTCCTGCAGCACTTGTCCCTCCAGAGCTGCGTGTGGGTCCCAGGCACTCTCCAGCAACCAGCCATTCCAACAAATGGCAGTGAATCAAGACCAATGATTCCTTTTTCTCCTTTTTGAAAGATTACTAAAAGGTCCGTGATTATTTATAAATACGCAAGGGATGCTTACAGGAGGGGAGAATTGTGGTGGTGGGGAATAAAGCCAGGGATGCCCTTCTAGGCATCCCACACCAGAAAAAAGATTCACATGGCTGGCTGCAGCCCGAGGACTCTCTGGGAAGGATGGCAGTACTCTTGACCTTGCATATGGACCACACAATGCCACAGCCCAGGTCCAGCATTGGCCCAGCAACTTCCTTGGAAGGTCAAAGCAAGGAGAATTCCAGTCTCCCTATTCCTAGCCCACAAGGAAGGGGCTGTTGGTCTCAGGGATGGGCACAGCCTGGTGCAACTTGGCGGAGCATCCTAGCAACTCTCTCAGATGTCGGCTTAGGGCGAAACTGGAAATGCATCTGCCCAGTACAGCTTGCGCTGATGACTCAGAGCACGTGTTTCTGATTCATTTGCACACAGCTCATCCAGGGGGTGTTGCAAGGACTATGTGATGTCCAAAGGAACCCAGTGAGTCTCTTATTAAATTTTTTAAACAAGTTTCTCAACGTTGATTGTCTCTCAGAGCCAAGAAACTGCATTCTTCCAGCCCCATGACTTCAAAACGAGGCTCTGTAAATCCGAGAACAAGTTCTATCCTTGGCTTTGGAATTCTCTGTTCTGACCCTGAGGGTCGGTTGAGGAGCCTGCTCACAGGGTCCGGATATGGGATGAGTGAAAGTCACAGCTGTGGACCTTGAGGACCTTGTGCTCACACCTCCACACATGTGGTGACAGCCAGCCCCCATCAGCCCCTAGTGGCCTTCATGGCCCTTGCTTGCATGAGGGGATGGTATTTCTGTGACTTTTTGAGAGGCCGTGTGGCAGAGTTGTTAAGAACATGGGCTCTGGGGCTAGACTATCCACATCTGCCACTTACCAGCTGTGTGACCTTAAGCAGATTGTTCACTTCTCTGTGAAAAGCTAACCTGTTGCTGCCTAGCTACCAAAACTTAACAGCTTGAAGCCATGACCATTGGATTGTTCACAGTTGTGGAGGTTAGGAATTTGAACAGGGCTCCACCAGTAGAGCTGGTCTCTGGTCCACATGGTATTCGCTTTGGTAACCCAGCTGGGCTAAAGCATCCAAGGTGGTCCCAGCTCACATGACTGGGGCCCTGGAGCTGGCCACTTACCTGAGGTACCTCAGTTCTCCACCAGGTGGCCTCTCTCTTCACCTGGTCTCTATGTGTAAGGTTTCCTTACCTCTAGTGGTAGGAACATTCCGAGAGAATGAGAATGGAAGCTGTAAGACCTCATAAGACTTGTCATGGTGTCACTCCTACCATATTCTACTGCACAAAGTAAGTCACAAGACCAGGCCAGAATGAAAGAGAGGAAATCCCTTCTTAATGGGAGATGTAGCACACACCTGCAAGGATGGGATGAATTACTGGGGCCATCTTTGCAGATAGTCAACCATAGGGGCCAATTAACAGTACCAACTTTATACAGTTGTTATGAGGATTAAATAAGTTAATATATGTAGACCATTTACAACAATGCCTGGTACAGACTTAGTGCTCAATAAGTGTTTGGTTTTATTATAATTACTCTTGTGTTACTTCAGGGACACATATAGTACATGTTTACTGCTTGAATTAAAGACTTCCCAGCTACGTAGTCATCGGTAAATCAGGAACCCCAGTATCCTTCCAGCCTGAGGCCCATGTACATCAGTCCTATTTGGTCATGGGGCCCATTGTGCCATCTCTGGGTGTTTTCCATCCTGTATCACCATGTAGTCTCAGCATTCCTCCATGAGAGATGCATCCATCATTTCCCTCTGCTCTCCTAGACTTTCTTCCGAGGGTACCTAGTTTGGAGGCTACAGACTCCTCATTGACTCTGGCCTGTTCTGAATTCTTCAGGTCACCATAGAGGTGGTGGACGGTCCTGACTCTGAAGCAGATAAAGATCAGCATCCAGAGAATAAGCCCAGCTGGTCAGTCCCATCCCCCGACTGGAGGGCCTGGTGGCAGAGGTCCTTGTCCTTGACGAGGGCCAACAGCGGGGACCAAGACTATAAGTACGAGAGTACCTCAGATGACAGCAACTTCCTCAACCCCCCCAGGGGGTGGGACCATCCAGCCCCAGGCCACCGGACTTTTGAAACCAAAGAGCAGCCAGAATATGGTGAGTTTACCACCCAGTGATATAAAATTGGTGGGGAGAATAAATGAGGATGTTGAGACCTAATGGACATGGAGCCAAGCAAAACCCAGTTTACAGTATGTGGTTTTGGGTCTTCTATGAGGCATACCTCATAAAGTCTTTGTTCCACAGAAGCCCCAAGAAGGCACCAGCAGCCACATTTTTCTGGAAAGACTATAATTTTAAAATCATATCAATTATCCTAGGAGAGAATTTTTTTTTTTTTTTTTTAGTTAGAGATCTTTGAGGTTCTGCCTCCCCCACCCCCAAGTTTTAGTTTTATTTCTAAAAATGAGGAAATCACCAAATCCACTTCCTGGTGTATTTTAGTGTAAAAATTCATACTGAAAATCAATTTAGTCCAAAGATAGGTGTCCAGCTGCTTCTTTTGAGCAGGCAGCCATGTTACATTTGACATTGGCAGTAGAGCAGCCATTGGGAACCCACAGGAACGTGTGCTTCATGGGCTGTCAATGGAAGGCTTCAAGACAATAAATTTCAAGATGCCAAGTTGGGATTTCTAGTTTCCCAAGTTTTTAGAGGAGGGGAGGGAAGGTAACAAGCACCTTACAAATTCAGTGACTTAAATAATAAAAACTGTTTTTCACTTGGGATGGGAGACAGAGTGGGGGAAACTCAGCTCCACTCCGTCATTCAGGGATCCAGGCTCCTTCCCTCTTAGAGTTCCACCAACTTCCAGGGCCTGAGTTACACACTGAATGCTCTACATCTGGTTGGCAGCCAAGGAGACAGACAGGTGGAGCTTGGAAAAGGCACACATGCTCTTAACCATCTCCGGCTGGAAATGGTACACACCATATCCACTCAGACTCTGTTGATGACTCTGGTCATATAGCCCCCACCTAGATGCAAAGGAAGCTGGGAAACACATCCTGGTTGTGCAAGGAAAAGGAAACCTGGCAAGGCTTCATGGGGAATCAGGCAGCCTGCCTTGTGTTATAAGAATATCTGAGGTCATACATACGCCTCCATCATGATGGTGTTCTTGCGGCTTCACCATCAGCAGTCTTAGGAACAACAGTTATATGACAGGAATGACCTGTCTCGCACCATTATACTCTCCCCCTTACCTCCATCTCTCAGTAAAAAGACCAGCTCTGTGCTGGAAAGTCATTTCTGCCGCTAATAGACAATACTAAGCAACTTCCAAAACAGGGAGACCTTTTTCTAAGAGCATGTCTTATGGCTGGCACCGTGCTAGGCTCTGGGAATCCAAAATTAGAAAGACACAGGTCTTCCCTAAAGGGGATCTCACCTGTCCATGGACAAGGGAGAAAAGTTGAGTGATAAAGGAAAACAGTGCCATGGTAGAAATACACATCACATGCTAGGGGAGCAGAAAGAGAACTCCCACACTCCTAGCCAGGAGGCTTGTAAAACCTCCCCTTTTCCAGAAGAAGTAGAGTTTACCTATTTTCCAAGAGAAAAGGACTAGGGATAATTACCAACATTTATAAAGCACTTCCCAAGCACTAGTCCCTCTTCATGGCATCTCACATATATTAACTTATTTAATCAGCTCTCTGAGGCAGATACTCCATTTTACAGATGGGAAAACTGAAGCCTAGAGAAGGGAAGCAACTTGACCTTGAGGCAAGTCTGAGACCTCTCAGGCAGTCTGAGCCCAGAGTCTGTTCTCTTAACCACTTTGTTGTCCTGCCTCTCTGGGAAACAAAAATAATCATATCCTTTAGGACAGCAGTGATTATGGAAATGCATGCTTAACGGGGAAGACAGAAATGAGAGGAAAGTCCTGTGGTGTTAAGCAAGGGAAACGCAGAGGATCCCTGGGTGCCAGGCCGACGTGTCACAAGTTTCTGACTTAATCATTTGCCCAGCACACAGGGGACATGGTTTTGAAGACTAGAGCTCAGACCCTCCCCATCAGAATCCCCTGACTACATAATTAAAAGTTACCAATCCTGGCCTCAGCCCCTTCCCTTTATACTAATAGTCCTCAAGATGTGAACCCCAAATGAGCCGCATCAACATGGCCTGAGACTGTGATAGGAATGCAAATTTTCAGGCCCCAACCCCAGGCCTATTGAACCAACCACTCTGGGCTGGATCCCCCAAATCTGTGTTTGAACAAGCCTTCCAGGGGGCTCTGGTGCCCTGAGCCCACTATTCCAGAGTGACGGTCCTCAGTCTTGGTTGTTCCTCACTCTCTCTAAAGAGCCCAGTCCAGTTCTCTTCAGTCCAGTTAAATTGGGATCTCTGGGGGGTGCAGCCCAAGCATCAGGTTTTAAGAGCTCTGTGAGTATGCTCTTAAGTAGGCGTGAAGCCCAGCTTGAGAGACGCTGCTATCCTTCTGCGGAACTAGAATGTCCGGGAGTGAGACCTGGAGTCGGTCTTTCTTTGCTTTGTTTGTTTCTTTCTTTTTGCAACCAGCGTCCCCTGATGATTCTCAGGCTCACCAGAGTTTGCAGACCACAACTAGAAACAACTTTTGCATCTAAAGCCCTTACAGAATACACTCTGGTGAATTCATGAACATGAAGAACATCGTCCATTTCTATCTTGAGGATAGAATTCAGTTCTCCTGGGACCATGACTGTGGCTGCCTCAGCCACCTTCACCATAGCTCTCTAGGCCTAGAATCCCTGTGGAGGGTCTTGCGTCTGGATCTGACAGCAGCTTAGGGCCATGGAGAAACTCCCATCTTTTATGGTTTGGGAGTATCTCTTAGTAACTCCCTCATCATTGGAGTAGATCCCAGGACAGCTACTTTATCAAGAAAATCTTGTCCCTTATAATACCCCTAAAGGAATCCTTCTTAAACTTTAACATGAATGCAAATAACCTGGGGGTCTTTTCCAGTGTAGCTTCTGATGCAGTGGCTGAGGCCGGTACTGCTGGTCTTCGGACCACACTTTGAGTAGCACGACTCTGTGTGGCAAATGCTCAGCAGCGGGCCCTGTGAGTGAAGGAATGGCTGCTTCTCTGATGGGTTCACAAGGAACGTGTGGTTTCCAGAATTCTCTGTAGCATCAGAAAAGCTCAATACTCTTTTTTTCAATCAACGAGAAACTATTAAACAATTTCTAAGTATTTGTCCCTAGGTCTGGTGCTGGGAAGGATCCAGGGAGAGAAGTCCTGGAAAGGTGGGGTTCCGGAAGCGCAAACTTCCTGGGGTTCCAGACCCGCTACAAGGGTGTGCTGGCTAGTCTGAGGCATGCTAAACCTGGCACAGGAACTGGTCTTTGTGGAGGATGTTGATTTCAGATTTTTAAAGGTAGCATCTTTAGTCAGAATTTAAATGTTGGTGGCCAAAGAGTACTTCAAAAAAAAAAACAGGTGGGAAAAAAAAAATAGACAAGAATGGCATCTTTAGAATATGTTATAAAACACACGACAGAAGCTGGTTAGACCTATTTTTGACTGTGGGAACACAGTGGCTCTGCTTTGGACTGTATTTGGGATGCTCCATTTGAAACGCCTTCTGTAGAGATACTTAAGGTATCATCAAGGACAAAGGAAGAGTCCAGAGAAATATTTTTCTGTCAAATAGCGGTATACCATTCCCAAAACTGTTCTGAATAACCTGCAAAATAAAATCAGATAGGCAATTGCTTACTGTAACCTGGGTTTGGAACTCTGTTCCTTACAATTCTCTGACTGGTCAGAGGCCTCTGTTAATAGAGTTCCTAGTGATTTTTGTCAAGGCTTTTTCTTTGTAATGTTGAATTATGGCCACATGAGTGGGTGTCTTAAAAAAGAGAGGCCAATGTGGGCCAGAATTAAAGCTGCCGGGGTACCGGGGTATAAAGGAGCATATGGCAGGAGCAGAGAGACCTCACCTCTCGTCCCAGCTCTGCCAGGTCTGAGCTGCGTGACGTTAGGCAAGACCCTTAACCTCTCTGAGCCTCAGTTTCCTTATCCATAAAAGAAGGATGTTTCCACCTACCCACAGGATTATTATCGGAGCTTAATCAGTATGTTTAGACAGAGAAGCTGGTTAAAGCAGACCCTCAGTAATTGGTAGCCACTCTCATCTAAGATTAGCAGTGGAAGCTTGCCTGGGACCAAGTCAAGACCAAATCACCCCAGTTGCCCAGACGCTAACCGACCCAAAAGTCTCTAGTGCGCTCAAACTACTTAATCACTACCTTAAAATTTCAAACGACATGCTTGAAACCCAGCTCTCAGCCCAGTACACTGCAGAGTGTTCTCTTCCCTCACTGAGCTCTTTGATGTCACAGGGACTGCTTTTTACTGTCATTGTTGTTATCTCAGCAATTACCGCTGTTCACTTTCATTTTCTGCTCTGAGCCATGTTCCCTGGCAGGTGAGCAAATGAGAACAGACTTGTTCTATTAGAGCAGAAAGGAACACTGCCCTCAAAGCCTTCTGTCCTTCGCACACATTAAACAAATAGAGAGTCCCCAAGAGGAGGGTCTTTCCTGGGACATGCGTCTAAGACAGTCGGCTATGGAGCCTTCAGGGTGGTGAGCTGACATGTACGCTTAGCCCTTCGTCACTAGCCTAACAGAAACGACCAGCCGCATGGTGACGGAACTGTTCGGTGCCTGATTTGGGGGGACCACATCTTACGTTTGGAAAATAAAGGGCTTTTGAGCATTTAAAATAAAAGCATAAAGAAAGCCACTAACTGGAATAATAAGCCCTTCATTGTTCCAGAGTCCATAAGTCATCTAGGAAGCATATTTTAGGGAGAATTTTATGGTATATTTTTAATAGTTAACTTTTGCTGCTCAAGAAACCACCCCCAAAATTTAGTGGCTTAAAAGAACAAATGGGTTCTCTCTTAAGAATCTGCAATTTACCTGGACTTTTCTTCAGCTCTGGGTTGGACTGACTGGGGCTGGAGGTCTAGGATGGCTTCCCTCAGCAATGGGGCCGCAGCTGGACAGGTGGCTGGCTAGGGTCTATCTCCAGCTGTCCCTCACCCTCCAGGTAGCCAGCCCCGGCTTTTCCCATAGTGTTGGATGAGTTCTCTACAGCAAGAGGGCAAACACTGATGCACAAACACATTTCCAGCCTCTGTTTGCATCATATTTGCTATTTTTCCATTGGCCATGGCAAGTCACATGGCCCAGGCTGGGGTCAGGAGAGGACAGTAACCGCAGGGTAGATACGAGGAGAGGAATTATAGAAGTCATTTTTCACGTAATCGGACGCACTATTAACATTCAGTAATTTAGTTCCAAGAAACCAAGACCAGAAATTACCTTGTGCAAAGATTCCAGTAGAAGCCTCATCACAGGGTTAATGCTGAAATCTCAAAGTTCAAGGATATTTCCAAAAATTATCTCTCCATATTTCTGCAACAGGAAGGAAAGGTTGCAAGAGATTTCTAAATGATTGCAGTCCCATTGCTTCTGCTAAGCCAAGCAGGAACACCAGTTGGCATCACTGGATTATATACCCACCATAAAAAGTGACAGGAACTCTACCTATGTACTCAGTAAACTTATTCTGACTGGTCCATCGCCCCCCTTATGAGTCTAATGGCATTACAATCATTATTTGTGACTTTTTGTTGTTGCTGTTCCCTTCAACAAAGCTGGTGTTGGTGGTATGTGTAGGACGTGGTTGAGTGTGTTCATGTATGTCTGTAACCCGCTGCACCTGAATGTTCCCCCGACGACAGTGTGATTTCACAGTTGTTCCAGGCATATCTCTGACATTCTTGGGGAGATGACCAAGAGGAACCAGACCACAGAGGTCTTGGAGGGAGCACCCAGTGCTTCTCCCCCTGGAAGCAGCTTGTCTCTCCAGTTCTACCTGTTGATGCCTACTAAGAGATGGGAGAGATGAAGACGCTCACACTAGGCAAACAGGCCAAACTCCTTCACATAAGGCAGTAGTTTCAAACATCTGGCTTGGCTGTGTTGCTGGAAAACCATTTCTTAGAAGAAGATCAAAATAGAAAAAGATTCCTTCTGGGAAAGAGGAGAAATGGACAGGGGCCCTGGGGGCAGTCAAGGTGTGGGCAAACTCTCTGCTCTGGGTTAGGGCTGAGGACACAACCATGAACCACCACCACCCCCCACAACTCCATTTAATGGGCTGAGGAGACTCAGCGGCCCTGTGTTTGCCTAAGGAGTGTTCTGAGTGAGCACCATGTAAACAACAGCCTGGGAGGCTGGCACAGAGCCCACACTGCAGGTAGAAACATGTGTGGACTACATTCCTGCTGGGCTTACATAATAAGGATCACCACGACCTGTTACGAACCAAGAGGACCCCTTCCCAGCAGAGCACATGCCTCTTGCCCCAAGCTTGGCACTGGCAGAGGCCCCAAGGCTATAGGAAGATCTGGATAAACCAGGAGAAAATTACTACAGAGTAGAGATGCTGCAGAGACAGTCATGCTGTAGAGATCAAAGACTCAGCACTGGGAACCCAGCTTTCCTTTCTGTTACCCTTATTACCTTGGATAAGTCCTCCCACCCTCAACCACCAGTCACACTAGGAATTAGTTTCTTTACTTTTAAAAAGAGAAACTAGTCTTGATAATATACCGACCTTCCTCACACCCCTCACACTCCCAAGCCCCCCCCCATTTGGTCTACTTCTCCTTTTTTCCATACCATTTATTGGCTTCTAATGTACTTACTCTAATAACTTACTCATTTTTTGTTTAATTATTGCCTGACTCTTCTTACTAAAATATTATTTCCACCAAGGCAAAAATCTTGGAAGTTTTATTTAATGGTATTTCCCATATACCTAGAATTAAGCCTGGCATATAATAGGGGCTATCCAATAAATATTCATTGGATAGATATTAAGTGATGACCTTGAAGGGTCATTTCTAGCTTTACCATTATGTAGTGGTTATCTACTGCTGTGTAACAAACCATCCCAAAACTCAGTGGCTTAAGACAACACCAGTTTATTATTTCTCATGATTCTGTGGCTCAGGAGATCGGGCCCCACGAGGCTGTTGCTATGCTCCTCATGCGTCCGCTCTATTCAGCTGTCTACTGGAAAGGGCTAGAAGGATCAACAAGGCTTCACTCACGTGTGTAGTATCTTGTGACCCATAATATACAAGTTTAGCCTCAGCTTCTTTCACAGCGACTGGATTGCCCAGAGTGAAAGTTGGAAGCTGCCAAGCTCCTAGGGCGGAAGTCAGCTCAGATTTTAGGGAAGGGGAAATAGACTCTCTCACTCGCTCTCTCCCTCACTCTTGCTCTCTCAATGAATGTATGTATGGGGAGGGAAGGAAGTGATGGTGGTCATCTTTGGAAACTACGTACCATAGTATTGCATGATCCCATACTGTACAAATGCATGCATTCTCAGTAGGCGCTTACCGGGAACCTTCTAAGGGTCAGGCCCCGGCAACGTGCTGACCACCACGGTACTCAAAACCTCAGACAGAGTCCCTACTCTCACCAAGCTAATCCCTAAAATGAACTCCGGAGCCACAAGCCTTTTGACTCCAGCTGGCATCTGGTCTCCTCCAAGGGCAAGAACAATGGAAGAAGACAACTGGAAGGCTCCTTGACAAGGGGGATTTGGGGACTCTTTGGGCAGCGGCTGGTGACCGTATCCCTGACTCCCTTCCAGATTCCACAGATGGCGAGGGCGACTGGAGTCTCTGGTCTGTCTGCAGTGTCACCTGTGGGAACGGCAACCAGAAACGGACCAGGTCTTGTGGCTACGCATGTACCGCGACAGAATCTAGGACATGTGACCGTCCAAACTGCCCAGGTGGGTTTATGCAGGGGAGTGGTTCCAAGTTCAAGCGAGAGTTTTTCATTTATATTTAAACCTTAAAGAAAATCACTTTTTAAAGGACAGCCATTTCCCTAATAAGGATTCTGACCAGACTGAAACAGTAAGAGATGAGTAATGAGCTGAATGGATGCAAAGATGGGTTTCCTGAGTCTTCAGCACAATTGCAGTAGTCATGACGTAGAGCACAGTGCCACAGTGTACTTGTGCAATTTCAAGGAGGGACTATGGTTAACTTGGGCCTTTGATGCGGGATTTGTTTTGCCTTGAAGAGACACATGCTGAGAGACCTTCATAGTCCAATAAGGAAGCCAGGATGAGAGGCTTCACGGACGCGTACAGGAAAACCACGCAGATAGCTCTGTCAGCGAGGCATGAGAGTTACTGAAGGATCCGTGGGAGGAAACTGAGGACACTTGGCAGTTCATTATTACTTTTTTTTAAAAGATTTATTTATTTACTTGAGAGAGAGAGAGAGAGAAAGTAAATGGGGGGGAGGGGCAGAGGGAGACAGAATCCTGAAGCAGACTCCCTGCTGGGGTCAGTCCTAGGACTCTGAGACGCTGACCTGAACTGAACTAAGAGTCAATCCCTTAACACCTTGAGCCCCCCAGGTGCCGCCAGTTAATTACTACTTTAAACTGCATTGCCTACTCTGGGCAAATGCATTAAAATCTGGAGATTCAGAAGCAAAAAATAAAATAAAAATAAAAATAAACTGCATTGTCAGGGTTTTGAAAACTAAACTAATTGTAAACTTGGTGAGAGGCCGTATTGGGGGTAAAAAATAATTGTGTTTGTCTGTAGCAATTGGGTAGCAAAGTGTGACCTGTTGTTCTACAGCATACACATTTTTAGAGGGTCAAGAAGACGGAAAAGGAGAAGGAAAAGAAAAAGGAGGAGGGGGAAGAAATATGCAACCAAGACCACATGTGACTCACAAGGCCTAAAATATTTACTCTCTGACCTTTTACAAAGAAATTTACCAACCCCTGGCCTGTGGTTTTGCATTTACATGTGTTCCCATTGCCAGGTAGAATACCAGCTTAAAATAAGATCTCGGATTCTTCTAACAAATGGCACATTCTGAATGGCCTCATCTGAAAGATATTTCAGAGACAGAAAGTTTGATCCCCACACGCCCAAACTTCCTTTTTCTTTTTTTTTTTTAATTTAAATTCAGTTAACCAACATATAGTAAGTACATCATTAGTTTCTGATGTAGTGGTCAGTGATTCATCAGTTGCATATAATACCCAGTGCTCATCACTTCATGTGCCCTCCTTAATGCCCATCACCCAGTTACCCCATCCCCCCAGCACCGCCCCTCCAGCAGCCCTCAGTTGGCTGAGTAATATTCCATTGTATATATATATAAACCACATCTCCTTTAACCACTCATCTATTGAAGGACATCTGGGCTCCTTCCACAGTTCGGCTATTGTGGACAGTGCTGCTATGAATATTGGAGTGCAGGTACCCCTTCTTTTCACTACATCTGTATCTTTGGGGTAAATACCCAGTAGTGCATTTACTGGGTCATAGGGTAGCTCTATTTTTAACTTCTTGAGGAACCTCTGTACTGTTTTCCAGAGTGGTTGTACCAGCTTGCATCCCCACCAAGAGTGTAAGAAGGTTCCCCTTTCTCTACATCCTCGCCAACATTTGTTGTTTCCTGTCTTGTTAATTTTTGCCATTCTAACCAGTATAAGGTGGTATCTCATTATGGTTTTGATTTGTAGTTCCCTGATGCCAAGTGATATGGAGCATTTTTTCATGTATCTGTTGGCCATGTGTATGTCTTCTTTGGAGAAGTGTCTGTTCATGTCTCCCACCCATTTCTTGACTTGGATTATTTGTTGTTTGGGTGTTGAGGTTGATACAGACTTCCTTTTACTTTTTTTTACTTTTTTATTCTTTTTTTTTTTTTTTAAGAGAGAGAGAGAGAATACAAGCGAATGGAGTGTGGCAGAGGGGGAAAGAGAAAATCTCAAGCAAGCTCCACACTCAACACAGAACCTGATGCAGGGGCTCAATCTCACAACCCTCAGATCATGACCTGAGCCAAAATCAGGAGTGTGGCGCATAACAGACTGAGCCAACCGGATGCCCCCAGACTTCCTCTTTCTACTCCTACAACTCAGTCATTAGACCATAAGGCTGATATTTGAAACAAAAAAGAAGTGGAGGTGGGCACCTGGGTGGTTCAGTCATTTGAGTGACTGCCTTCAGCTCAGAGCATGATCCTGGAGTCTCAGAATCGAGTCCTGTGTCGGGCTCCCTGCTCAATGGGGAATTTCCTTCTCCCTCTGACCCTCTCCCCTTCTCGGGCTCTCTCTCTCAAATAAATAAGTGAAATCTTAAAAAAATAAAAAAGTGAAAGAGCAGAGGGTTTCTGGGGGTAGAGAGGAAGGATCAGATTAGGCATGCATATGTTAGCAAAGCAGCATATGTAGAAAACAGGGCCGAAATTTAACAAGTGGCTGTTTGGGCTCTATGTCAGCCATGTGGGTGGATTTCAGGAAGTGGAGCAACCATCAGGATGATTTTCCTGATCTTTCTCATGCTAATCATAATGAAGCTGAGTTGGACATCTGATGTGATAGGATTTAGATAGGTGGAAATAAACCCATAAATAATAATAAGATGAGAGATAAGAAGAGAAGGAAGACAGGAAAACAATGAAGAAGGAAGAGAAAGACAGTATGAAGAAGAAGAAAAGATGATAATGAAGATGATGGAGAATAGGATTTTTTGAGGACTCAAGTATCAAGCAGATTTCTGAGGTCTTCATGTACCTTACTTCATTTAATTCCTGCAATAGCCTCATGAAGTGGATTTTTATTATTGTACCCACTCAACAGCTGTAGAAACAGGCACAGGGTTAACTTGCATGAGTCACACAAACAGCAAGAGGTCAATCTTGAATCTGAATTCAGGCAGTCTGATTCCAAGGTCCATGTTCTTAATGATTAAACTGGTCCACTGCCACCAGGAGGAAAGATACGGGGTTCAGCCACTCATGGATACAGACAGTATTTAGTGTCTGGGCTTGGGGGCTTGCTGCTGTTTTCTTTTCCCAAGCTGGCACCAGATCCAAGTCTACCCACTGGCGACCACCATTCTGAATATTTCTCTTCAACCATTTTGAATGTTGTCTTCTTGTTTTCTCTCACCACCTAGAGCAACGTGCCTAGCAGGCCTGCTCCTGCGTTTTCTTCTCTTGTGACCCTGCCCTTCTTCCATCCTTTCTGCCTCTCAGTTCCTGGGCCTCCCAGTCTTTTTCAGGGCTCCTTTGACATGAAGGATTTTTTTTTTTTTTTAAACAGGATCTCTTTCTTTATTTGTTTTGGTGATTCTCAGCATTACTGGAAAGAGTCATGGAGCAGGCAGTGTCCCTGGCGTGGCAGTGATTACACTGTAAAAGTTTGTCCCCTATGTCAACCCTATAAATAAGTTCAAGGAGCTTCATGTAAAGCCAGAGAGAGCCCCTTAAAGAAATCAAGTCATGCCTCCCAGGCCACTAAGGCTCTCCACCAACATAGACTACCATGTTCCATGTTCCACCACCCCGGCCTCCTCAGATGCCTCAGCTAACACGGCATTCCTGTTTGTGAGGGAAGGCTGGATGGGAGTGGTAGTTTGGGGAAGGAGAGGGGAACCGGGAAGTATGAGACAAACTGGATTCAGCCCGTCCGAGCCAGTAATGACAAGCCCGGCTTACTCTCTTTGAAGCATCAAGGGCAGTGCTGGACATCCTAGAATGTGAGATATCTGCTCTTTAGCTGTGGACTACTATATCCTCAAAATACTCCTGGGGAAATTATCAGCTAACACTCACCACTTACTTCTGTAAATTCTTTCTTTACACATAATTCCTTGAGTGCATTTAACTCTATGAGGTGGGGCACTTATGTCTCCCCATTTTATAGATGTGAAAGCTGAGGCACTTGAAGGTTTAAGTGGCTTGATCAGGATTACAGGCTAGTAACGATCTGAACCCTGTCAGTGAGTCCTTAAAACTGGTATGGACCACTAGACAAAATATTAACCCCTGCTTCTAATCCAGTTTGTCACCCAGACACCACCAGACAGGTAGACTTGCAGATGGACATGTGTCCCCTACTGCCCCAAACCCCCTTCTGGGCCTAGTGAATGAGTTCCTTAAGACCCATTCAGGCACATTTGGATCTGATTTCATGCTGCAAATGGTATCTGGGGTTTTAATATATTTTATGCTCTACTACCTGCTTTTCACTCTTTCCTCTGCTGGCAAGTTCCTGCCCATGAGTAGTGATGAATACAAAAAAGGCTTTGTTCAGGTGTATTTGTTTCTTGATTTGCTAGGGAGGTGGGGGGTAACTTTTTCCATATAACTAGGGAAAAATGAGCTCCTGTCTGTGTTTAGGAATTGAAGACACCTTCAGGACAGCCGCCACCGAAGTGAGTCTGCTGGCGGGAAGCGAGGAGTTTAATGCTACCAAACTGTTTGAAGTCGGTAAGGAGACCTTTGTCCCCATTTTTTATCCAAATATTGATTTAATATTTTGGAGATTCCTTATGCTTTTGCAGTGCCATCCCATCCTAGGATCCATTTAAGTGTTTCATTTTCCTCTTACGGGGTCCAGTACTCCCAGCGAATTTCTCGCTCACAGAATATACTCTAAGCAAGAGAGAGCAGTCCCAGACCTCCTGCCCCAGGCTGGGCCGAGCAGAGCACCCTCTGTGTCCGCCTTGCTTGCCACCCAGCTTCCACGATAAGTGGTACAGGAGTGGGACAGCTCTCCCCTCAGTATGGATTCAGTCTCCAGTGGGGCCTCACGCCCCTTCTGACAGCCTTCACGGAGTGTCCCCAAAAAGTGAGGAAATGCTGGTCTTGGTTCTGTAGCAAAAGGAAGAAAGGAGAGAAAAGGAGCTTTCTCTGTATTATGCCTGCCTCCCTCTACCACATATATTTTTTCATAAACCTTTGGCATACTCTGCTACTCATCTGCTCGAAAGTGCTAAGCCAAACACAGTCTGCATGAACCAAGCCAAATGACAAGTGACAGCTAGGTGCAAGGCGAAAACTTCCTTTTTAAAAATAGCTTCATGTGCTTCGGGATGCAATTCTGTATTGCAGAGAGGTGAGACTCCTGCCACATTACCGCGTGCCACCCGAAACTTCATCAGCCTCAGCCAAACAGGAGGCAGTTTGAAATTCTCCGTGACCCAGGGCTTCCACTTCAGTCCTTCACACACACAAACTACCTTTAGCACGAGCCTTCTGCAAACACAATGCTTTTACTACCTCCCCCCCACCACACACACCCCCAAAAGAAATTAGAGACTAAATGCAAGAAATTTACACTAAATGGTAGAGCAACAAAAGTTGTCTCTTGAGGGCAGAGAGCTTCTCAGGTCTCTTCCTATTGCATACCCTACAGACAGGCAGCTGCTTGCTTTTTTGCGGAGGATAGGTTCAGTTGCACAAAGCCACACCTGAGGTGGGACTAAAGACACACAGAGATGAGTAGGGATGGGTGTCAGTCAGGTTCTGGGCAGGAACAAACACAACACACTGGAATCAGGTAATTGAGGAGCATTCTATGAAGGTCTGATGAGCCGGATAGATTGGACACCAAGAAGGGGTTGGATAGAACAATGGGGAGCCCTAACCGCCCCTTGGCCTGAAGGGACGAGGGTAGCTGTGTGCAGAGGGCTACTACCCGCCACCATTCTGGGCTCTCTGAAAGGTGTAGCCAACTTGCAACAGTGAAGGAGGAACCACAGGGACAAATACATTGACCTCACTCTCCTCTCTCACCCTGGTCTCTGACCAGGTCCTCCCTTTGGCTCAACCCAAAGAGCAGTCAGGGATCTAGGGGTCCACCGATAGAGTCCACATAGGACAACCTTCCAGGGGGAGGGAAAACATGGAATGAGAAGAGAGAAGACCAAACAGAAGATGCCTCACCGAGATGGGATACAGCTTGATCTGCACAAGGTCATTTGCCAAACCTGGTAGCACCTCAGTTAGCTGATCTGTCGAATGGTAGGAGGTCACAGGGCCCCCTTATGGAGCTATTGTAGAATTAAATGAGTTCATATTAGCAGAGCATTTAGAACATGCCCATCACACTGAACACCTACCAAGTTTGATAGATAAAAATAAGTCAGTGTATGTTCTGTGGGTACATGAATTATGATAACCAAGCCATTTTCTAGAGCCTCACTGAATATTGCTTCTGAACACCCTGTCTGATGGAGGAGGCCTGCCCTGGCTTTGCAGACACACATTTCCCAGGAGGGAGCCTGCATTCTCTCACTGCTGTTCAGTCAGGGGCTCACAGGGCTGGAATCTTAGAGCTCAGGCCCAAATTGAGCCTTGGCATATCCCCTCTGGCAGGACCCTGGGCCCACAGGCTCCCTGCATTCCTCCAGCTTAATCTTCACTGTGCCTTAAGAGACGGGCATCCTTTTTATCCCCAGTTTGGAGAGGAGTATACTGAAGCACAGGGAGGGAGACTATACCTGCACGAGGGCATGAGCTAGTAGACGGTAGAGCTAGATTTGATCGCAGACAACTGAACACAAGATCCCACACTCTTCCTCTTAGGCTGGGCCTTTCTGAGTGCTTGAGAGATGCCTCCTCTCTCTCTCTTCTTCATTCCACTGAGAGAAGCCTGCGCTCTCCTCCAACCTGCCCCCAACTCCGCCCCCATCCTGGCCACTTGATTCCTTCTTAGGGCACCACCAGCTTCCCAGGCATCTGGGTCAGAGCAGGGAGTCACTCCTAATGTCTCTCCTCCCTTTCCCTCAAGCCCACCCAGGCCCAGTGGCCCTACTCTCTGAGTTCACTTGATCCGTCCTGTTCGGTCCTTTCCCACTTGGACTCTGACAACTGATACCAGCACTGAATGTATCTTCTTCCTGTTCAGCTCAGCCAGTAGCTATCACTCCAAAACCTTCAGTAGCTCCCCACTGCCCTCGGAACAAGCCTAAACTGCACAGAAGAGTCCCGCGATCTGACACCAACAGACTTCCTGCCCTAGAGCCTCCGTTCCGGTGACACCAAACATGTCCCCCAGCCCCAGACAACCCCAGCAAATTTTGTTCTGCTCAACCTTGGCATACACGAGTGGCCTGTTCCTGGGGCCAGTCGTTCCCATGGGCAGGCAGGACCCACACAAACATATCTTGGTTTTCCAAATAAAGCCAGGAATCCACATTAACAAACTGGAACCACCTCAGTCTTAAATTAGTTCAATGATTAATTAATTAATTGACAATGAAGTCGACATCTTTTAATACTGTAAGGCCCAAATACGACAACCTCCAGGGGCAGGTTCTGGCTGGAAGCCTAGAGGGCAGTGGCCTCTGGGCCTTGCTGTTAAGTTCCCTAAAAGCAGGGGCCACCTGCCCCTTCCTCTTTGAGACATCTCATCATATGGATTTCCTTACAAGGACTGTCACTCTTTGGTGCCTGTGGTTAAGAGATGAGGCCACCAGCTCTAGCTTAATCCAGTCAGTGAGTGGCACAAATAAAACCAGGGACTACCAGTTCTCCTTTGAGGTACTTTCCACCTTGTTACCAGATACTTAAAGAGGAGATTCAAAATTGTCCCCTGAATTAGTGTTCATTTTGTTATAGGTGTTAGCGGAGTTATCCTGCAACCTCCCTTTCTTCCTCAGATGCCTCCTAAAATTCAGGGATAATCATATCATATATTTTCAAGAAATAAGACAGACGAAGCAATTGTAATGGTTAAATCTAGGTGATGGCAGACAGGGAGTCACTGCTGGAGTTTCATCTCTCTACTTTTCTGTGTCTGAAATTTTTCATGGTATCAAATGGGGAGGAGGTTGCCTTGCAAATAAAGTTCCCAAGGCCAAGAGGGGTGAGCATGACCAAAGCGAGGGCTGGTGGTTCCAGGGGACCGCAGGGATTCCCCCTGGGAGGGGAGGAGTTGAGGTCAGTGTGAATCTGCCACCACTGTTGCATATGGTGAGAGGGGTTCTCTGTGGTCTTTCTCAGATACCGACAGCTGCGAGCGTTGGATGGGCTGCAAAAGTGAGTTCTTAAAGAAGTACATGCACAAGGTCATCAACGACCTGCCCAGCTGCCCCTGCTCCTACCCCACCGAGGTGGCCTACAGCACGGCGGACATCTTCGACCGCATCAAGCGCAAGGACTTCCGCTGGAAGGACGCCAGTGGGCCCAAGGAGAAGCTGGAGATCTACAAGCCCACGGCCCGGTACTGCATTCGCTCCATGCTGTCCTTGGAGAGCACCACGCTGGCCGCCCAGCACTGTTGCTATGGCGACAATATGCAGCTCATCACCAGGGGCAAAGGGGCGGGGACCCCCAACCTCATCAGCACCGAGTTCTCAGCAGAGCTCCACTACAAGGTGGACGTCCTCCCCTGGATTATCTGCAAGGGCGACTGGAGCAGGTACAACGAGGCCCGGCCTCCCAACAACGGGCAGAAGTGCACTGAGAGTCCCTCAGACGAAGATTACATCAAGCAGTTCCAAGAGGCCAGGGAGTACTAAGGAGATGTCCGCTCCGGTATTTGTGACACAAACGTAGTGCGCGGATCTGCTGCCAGGGCAGGGCGGGGCCGGTCTTATCCGAATCCATAGATATTTGTATACACTACGAGGGTATGTTTCATAAATCACACTAGGAGTGAGCACCTGCCCCGGGTGACGGCTGTCTGAAGCCACCTTGCCATCCGAAATGCCCACAGAGCTCCTTGGAATCCCTCCGAGGGGCGATGTTGGCAGGAGGATGGGGACAAAGGAGCCAGAAGAAGAACCTGGAAGCCATCGTGGGTGGGATTCAGTGCACACCCAGATCCTGCGTTTCCTGGAGGAACAAAGAGGGAAAGACTGGGTTGTAAACGTTATAAGCAGTTTTTATATATAACTTATTTAATATGAATGTGACTTAAGCATAACCTTTTCGCTGGAGTTGTGAAACTGTTTAATCACTTCTGTGAGAGTTCAGACAGGGGCTCAAGGAGGTGGAAGAGAAGGGAATTTGGGAGTAATTTTTTCTTTTAAACTAAATAACTCCACGGAAGTGTCTCAAAAACAAGAAAATCCCACCTTAAACCAAATGTTCTTTAGTCCTGAGGCAACCTGCTGGAGTCTTGGCTTCCAGAATATCCTTGCCTAAGATTGGATAGCAGGAGGAGGGCACATGGGGATTTTAGGGGCAAATCTGAGGACTGGTTTTAAATAGGCTTTAAAATAAAAGGCCAATGTTAACATAATGCTCTAATTCTACTAAAAGGCTACAGAATGGCAGAAGTTCTGCTCATGCCTTAGTGGGAGGTTCAGAAGGCTGTGGGAAGGTCAGACATAAATATAGGTAATAGCACTTTTGCAGAAGAAAAAAACAAAAGCAAAATAGATAGGAAAAGAACATGGACCTCATTTCATCTATTTTATTCTAATACTGTCTTAACAATTTTTTTTTCTCCACCAATATATTGCCAGCAAATACATATAAAAAGAGTAGGGGGATTCAAATCTATAAAATTTCTAATTTTTTATGTTTTAAGAAAGGGGGAAAAACTACATTATTTTTGTAAAGTATTTATTGAGTCATTGAGTCTTGTGCATCAAGCAATTGTAATATGACCTGGTTATGTAGTGTGGAACTTAGGACAAACAAAGAGTTTGTTCTTATGCAATCTTTACTTGCAAACTCCAGGAAAAGAGAATATATCATAAAATCATAATAAAATGTGTTACCTGCAATAAATGTGTTACCTGCAAATATTTATAATGCAAATACCGTAAAGAACAAGCCCAGGGCGTCGAGGCAGGAGAGAGGGAGGTTCAGACCAGGTGGGAATAAAAGGCTCATTGATTGACTTGATGGTGGGTGGTATAACTCACGACACCTTTGGCACCAAGAATGTCAAGCCAGGCCTCAGGAGGCTGAACTCATTGACACACAGGTAAGTTTTTGCCCACTCAGAGCTAAGAAAGAACTAAGAAAAGCAGACTAGAGCAAAGGCTTAAGACAGTCCAGAGGAGGGACGTCTGGGTGGTTCAGTTGGTTAAGCATCCAACTCTTAATTTTGGCGCAGATCGTGATCTCAGGGTCATGAGATCGAGCCCTGTGTCAGGCTCCATGCTGGGCCTGAAGCCTGCCTAAGGTTCTCTTTCTCCCCCTTTCTCTGCCCCTCCGCTACCTTTCCCCCATCTATGCCTTTCAAAAAAAAATAAAGAAGAAGAAGAAGAAATGACAATCCAGATGAGCAGGACTGCTTCCAGACAAAATTGTGCAATGATAGAAGTAAGTAGAACTATTCATCACGCAGATTATTCCAGATGAGAAAACCAAAACCCAGGGAAAAAAATGTATCACACTGGACCCATCTTTCATTTCCTAGCCTAATGCTCTTTCTATTATATCAAATTGTTGATGTCCTAGTGGTGTCTTGGGTATTCTTGATCCCACTCTTAAGTTCCCCTAATAAAATCTGTTCTTTTGGAAAAGCTCTTATCAATCATTTACACTTTAGAATGAATTACCCCTGTATTTTCCTTCTCAGAATATCTATATTTAAGAGCTATTTCTAATTATGGCATGAGAAGCCTTATCGACATCTAAAGGAATTTTAAGCAAGTGAACTGATAGGGAGAGAATCAATACATCTATGTATCAGGGAAGCAGATTTGGTTACTAATAATAAGAAAACTATTTTTGCAAAGATAGTTGGTTGCAACAGATTGCATTGCCTTTGAGGTGGTGAGTCCCTGTTGGGACAGGTATTCAAGCAGTGATGAGATGAAGCACATGAGAAGATAAATTGAGAGATGAGAGGAAAAAATTTGTGCGATAACACCTTCTGATAAATGTTTTTTTAAGGGTAAGTGCAAAGTACTATGGGAAAACATACCTATTGGGACTAATGGAGGATTGGTATTTCATAAAGCAGGGAACAGGGAGGGGGAAGTGGATGCATTTAGGGTTAGAAAAAAGTAAGAATAAAAACAAGGAACTAGGAATGAGCTTGGGTTTTTCTGAAGACCAGTATATTTAGAGTGATGAGCAGAGGAACAAGAGTGGTAAGTTTTGGAGTTATATCTAAGGTATCTTTATTAAGGATTTATCATGGAAGATTAAAAGGAACAGAGCTCTTTCCTGCTAAAGTGAGAATGACTGATATAAGCAATATTTTCAACAGGCTCTTTGCCTTTTTCATCTCAGACCTTGCTGACCTAGTAATATGAAAGTTGGAAGATGAGGTGGATTGGGGGCAGGGGAGAGCCCCTGGGCTCTTTGCCTACTGAATACATCCCTAGTCTCCTATATCTGACCAGGTTAGTGCCATACCTCTGGAAATTTGCTGAACTATGGTCTGCCTCTATCAGGATAAGGTAGTTTTCAGTCCCGAAGCCAGTGAGTGGTGCTCAGAAAACCAGAACCCCTCTGTTTGGGTATCTGATAAGACAATGCAATCTTATCTTATTTTCAGCACAGGGTCTCAAGCCAGGCCCAGGGTAACCCCAAGAATTCCCTCCTTGCAAACAGATCATGTGCTCAAGGGCTAATTTCGCCTGCAGCAGAGTGTGCTGCCTGCACCCTTGCCTTTAGCACCTATCACCCCTCAGCAAGTACTCCACAAAAGCCTCTCATCAAATTTTTGCTCCTTCGATTCTCCCTGGAAAAAAGAGCTCCTTTTCTAGTAATGCACTGGACCTCTTGGGTCCCCCGCCTTGAGCGAGCCAATAGGAGAGAACAGAGATGCCCAAGGCCCTCTAGTGGCCGCACATGGGAAAGTTGAGGAATATGACTTGGACACACGGAGCTTTCTCTTTGGCCCCAGTACAACCGTCCACCATGATTATAGTCTTCGCAGTGTTTCTCTCTGGGTAGCTCAGCGGCCAGGAGGTTAGAGTTCTCCAGCCTCACTAACATCAGGGATCAATGAATAGTACTATCCTTGCCATTCTTTCCTGAGCTCACACTTTATGCCTCAGTGCTATTCCCTTTACCATGGGAGGCAGGCAGAGTACATCACATTCATTTTACAGACGAGGAAAAAGAAGCCCAACAAGGTTAACGAACTTGCCCAAACTCATATTGCTCCATAAATGGCAGAGCTGGCTGAAGCCAGTCCTTTCTAACCACCAAGCCAACATTCGTAACCTTCCTCTTTGTTCTACGCCCTTCCCAAGTCTTCCCGACACTCACAGGATGTTAGGTTTTTGTTTGTTTGTTTTTCTCTAACTCACCCTGCTTTTACTCAGATTGTTCAGATCTGCCAAATGTCCCTACATCAACCCTTACAATGTCTCACATTGGGCGCAGAGGGTCTGGCTTTATTTCTACATATTCTGCACAGCTCTGTCATTCTGTAAGCGGTCGCCGGAGATACGACAGTATACAAATCCGAGTTGGAGGGCAGACAGCCAAAAAATAAATACGTACTGAGATAATGATAAGTGATATAAAGAGAAACAAATTATTTGATCACACACTGTATGTTGCATTATTTATTGCAATACTTAGTTGCTGTAATAGGCAGTCCTCAAAATCACAGCGACTTAACACTGTAAAACTTGGATTTGTTTCTGGCCAAGTGTCTCTCCGCTAAGTGATGACCAGGGGTCCAGACTCCTTCCATGCTGTGGCTTGGCCATCTTCAAGCTGGGACTCTCTAGGACAACCTGGGAGTCCTCTCTATTCCAGCCTGCTTAAAGAGTAGAGAGTGGTCAGGATGAGCATAAAGGTTAGGTCAAGCAGAGATGTACTATACATCATTTCCACTCCATCTCCAGGGCTCTGTTCCATGCCACACTCTTCTGCAAGGACAATGGGGAAATAGAGTTTAGTTGAGGGATTGGGGGTGTGGGAAGCCAAGATAGGCTATGTGAGCACTCAGCCTGTGTCTGCCATGGAGGTAGACCACCTGGTTATGAGAGCCAGCGCAAGGGACTCTGGATGGTCCCAAAGTAGGTGACCAAAGAAGAGAGGGGCTTGCCAGCCCCTCACCATCTTCCACATTATATTATAGTGCTAAACTAGACCTCAGTTTATTAGCTATCAACTGGATAGCTGTCTTACCTACTCATTGTTGCACCTCACTTGGCACTTACCACACTTCCTACACATCTGTGTCCACCAGCCCAATTCTCAACTGGAAGTTTCGACAAGCCTTAGCCTCATCACTTTCTCTGGGCAGTGGGGCCCCTTGGCTTGCACAAGAAACAGAATGAAGTGCCAGGGAGTTCACAGTCCCCCCCAGGAACATTTAACAGCTGACTGAGAGGAGCTATGTTTATGAATGCCCCAGCCTCCTCACCCTCCACTGGGGCAATTCTGAAGCATATTTTGTACTATTCTCAGAGTTCCCAGCAGGACTGAGCTCCAGGCACCCACAGAGGTAACTCGCTTGCTAACACACCATTCATTGTCTTCCTTTCTATCCCCGTGTTTCTTCCGCCACTCCCCTTCTGTGGCTCACTGGGATCCTCTCTCCAGCGTGCTATCTACTCAGATCGTTCTCTCTGGATTCTCTTCCAGGGGAGTCCCAAACCAAGGCATAAGTTTATGCTTTGATACTTACTGAGTGCCATTCAAATATAAGCTCACTCTTATTTTCATCATGCTCACGTGGAGAGGCGGTTTTGCTGTTGGTGATAGCTCTACCAAGAAAGAAGATCCAATCTCATTCGAACCAGAGATTGGCACTCTACCAGATTTTCAAGCTTTTAAAAAACAAATTGATAAGTCCCCAGTTTTTATAATTAGATCCAACAGACAGAAAATGACCCTGCCAGATCCCTCTAAAAATTGCTGAACACCTTCTCCTCGTTTTTTAATTCATCTCCTTGCTGACTACAAACCAGCGCTGCTCCACCACCCACACTTTGAGTAGCCCTGTTCTAATCGACTGAGTGACACTGATCGGTACCCCCATGAACAGGGATTCCGGCCTGACATGCAAAATCATGAAAAAGCTTCACAGGAAGTTATGTGTGGGGAGGGAAGAGGATGGGGTTCTCCCTTTGTCATCCACTTACAATTTCCAATGGAAAAATGTGTGGGTTGTCACCATTATGCCTGCACTATTTCAGACTAATTAAAGGCTTGCCATGGTAATTACTGGGTGGGTATACCCAGGAACATACCTCCATGTGTACAGATCCCTGAACACAGTAGTATAAATTAAGACGGAAAGCTTACAGCCTGTTGCTTTTCTGAGGCTTAGTGTTGGTTTACCATACGGGATTAGGAGAAGAGGGGCACTTTCTGGGATCAGAAGGTAAGACTTCTTAGGAAACAAATTTATGGGACTAGCAACTCTTTGTTGCACCGGAAGAACAAAGCCTAGAGACAGTTTGGGTTTTTCGGTTTTTGTTTTTGATATATTTTTTTTCCTACCTCCATCTCCATGTTGGAAAGCCAACATACAAAGATCAGTGCCTTGCCTGGAAAGGCAAAAAGAACATCATCCTCAACCATTTTAGCAGCAGGGGTATTGGTGGATTGAGACACAGCTGCAAAAGCAAAGCTGGGTAAGAATTTTATGACTTTGCTAATTTTCTATCTGTTCCGGGAATAATAAATATGCCCACAGATATTCATAATTGCCCTCAAAATAAAATAAAATAAAATAAAATAAAATAACA